AGTTTTATTTCCGGTGGATAAAACATGGCATTTTGGAAGGAAATCTGGGATTTTACCCAAGGAAGGAAGGATAGCAATGTTGGTTGAGGGAAAAAAAGTATGAAAGCCCCGATGAAAAACAAAGCAGTATATTTTCAATCCACAGAAGCAGCAAAAGTATGATAGAAAAAGAATGATAGGTTCACCACAAATGTAAAATATGCCTGATTTATTTTTAACCAAAGAACAGAACAGCTAAAGTGGACATAGCCATATCAACTGTATGGCTTAACAACTTTTTGACCAGAAATCAGGTATTATGTTTCAAGGAGCTTGGAAAGCAGCATGTCAAGAGAAGAGATCATAGCATTATTACCAGTCCTCATGAAGTCTGACCTGATGGACTCTTTTCTTTTTACGTTTCAATTTTAACTGAAAAATGGGACCCTAACAAAAAAGAAACTAATAGGGCCGCACCCAACAGTAATATTATTAATAATGTGTACAAGGCACCATAATGTCTGCAATAATATTGCAGTTCATTTATGGAGCTAAAGGTCTACCTTGAAAACTTTGAGATGGTGATAGAATGGGCCTAATCCTACAATTTGGCATGCCCACATCTTCTTCCTTTTTGCAACTGTTGATTAAACAGTCTTCTGGGATCTATATGATCGTGGCTCCTTGGCTGCCTCATGGAAAATCAGGTGCCATCGTTTGAACTGTGTGCAAAATCTCCCTAAGGAAGCAGGCTTTTGTCCTGCGAAATGCGTAGGAGGAAAAAAAAAGATCTCAAGATACTACACACAAGCTGTATATACACCCATTGTATTGTATATGGGAATTCTTTGTAATATTTTGTATATCAAACCTGATGATTTGTACAGTCACAACATGTAATGTCTACATGTTTTTATACATACAGCACTATTTATGTTCAGATTCTCTATCTCAGTTATGCTTTTAGTGCTGTGGAATAAAGATATATACTTTCATAATCTGTGTATGGAGTTTTGTCAGTATGGTGCCTAGTAAAGCCCCATTAGTTTCTTTTTTGTTTGGGTCCCATTTTTCAGTGTCTTTTCATTAAGGGGTATGGCACCAGTAAAACCCATTGTCAATGGTAGAGACCATTATACAAATGTCTCTCTCTCTTTCCTTCTCTGTAATAGCGTTTCAATTTACCCTCTCTTATGTGCCAGGACACAAGAACAAGAAAGCTGATGCACTTTCCAGACAGTTTGAAACTTCTGAAGTTGTTCAGCCCATTGAACAGTACATAATTTCACCACACTAGCTTGTTGCACTAATCTCCACAGCCCTTCTACAACAAATTACAGGAAGCCAAGAATTGTATTCTCCACGATCTGAAGATGCTGCCCGGTTGTCTGTTTGTAGTCTCAGGAAGGCTGTACTTCTTTGGGCACATGAAGAGTATTGTCTGGTCATCCTAGTGTCACTATCACCCTAAAGACTTTGGAGCGCCATGTTTGGTGGCCAGGTATGAAAAAAAGATGTTACAGATTATGTGGCCACCTGTCCAAGTTGTGCTGCTAATAAAATTCCATGCATATTAGCCACCGGCTTGCTACAACCATCCACCACAACTCGACAACCTTGGACAGATTTGACCATAGACTTTATCACAGATCTACCCAAATCTGCTGGTATGACTGTAATATGGGTCATAGTGGATCACTTTTCTAAAATGTATCACTTTGTACCATTGTCTGGACTACCTACAGTCAAAGCATTGTCTTCTCTCTTCTTATCTTCCCATATTGTTAGAAATCATGACATATCTGCCAGTATCGTGTTCCAAGTTCATTTCTTGATTCTGGAGAACTTTGTGTAAGAAGCTGGGGGTAACAGAGTCTTTCTCTACCTCACACTACCCACAAACTGAAGGACAAACCAAACCCGCAAGACCTACCTTCAACACTATAGCAACTCATTACATTACAGTTGGTCTTTGTATTTGACTTTTACTGAGTTGGCCAACAACTTGGCACAGTGCCCTTCATACCACACCTTTTTATGCAGCCTAGGCTACCCATGTACTTTTTCCATACTGCAACCACCTTCTGGTGTGCCAGCAGCAGATCAGCAAATAAAAAATATATTTCTATGCTGGAGAAAGAATCGCTTGATTCTACAAAATGCAGCAGGCAGGTTTTTTTCACCGTCATTTTTGCAAAAATGGTGGTGTTCTGGCAGGTCCTCATTTAGTGGAGAAGAGATTGTTCCAGGTTAGAAGGGAACAGTTGGGGTTTCTAGGCAATGTGTTTTGAAGGTTTGCTTCCTTTCTCAAGCCTAAGGAGTGCTCTATGGCATGACAGTTATACGGTTACGGAACTGGGGGCAGGCAGCAGAATGCAGCAAATTGCAAAAACTAAAAAGTTTATTTGAGCACGGGACTGTTAAAAAGGGAGACTTCATATAAAAAAAAGAGAAGGATCTATGTATTTCAAGCTGCTTTTAATAAAAAAATAAACATAAAAGATGTGCTGCTTTTGTAACATAACCTATTAATATGTATCTCATGAGAAAGACCACTAGAGGGAGTGTTGAAACCATAAACATCTAGGAGACTAACTACTGAAGGAAACAATGTAACACTATTAGGTAATTGATAGGGAGAAGGTGGAGACTATTTCAGAAAGATGGGCATATTTAGAGAAGGGGGAGCTGTAATATATTTAGGGAAGAAAATAATTACAATTGCCTAATTATACCAAAAAATAGCCATAATTTCCACTATTAAATTATGAACAAAATAATGAAACTAATAGAGAATAGTGCTGACATCTATTTCCTCATTTAGCCTGTTCGGGTTCAGTGGGTTCAGAGTGAAAATACATCTCTTGTTGCAGAGCTTTCTAAATCTCTCAGCAGAGGAAATGTTGCTGGGAATGTTTGAGTGCAAATAGTCATAGGTCATTGGCGGATTTATTATGTTTGACAGCAAAATGTTTGACATGTCATGGATTAATGCAACCTTGCTGTATAACATGCAGTATGTTTTCCTGGAATAATTTAAAAAAGTAGTTTTTTTAAGCGAAATGTATGCATAAGTCTTGCATCTCAATTTTTGCAGTAAAAAAATCCTTTCAGGTCCTTAATAAAGGGTAAGAAAGGAGTGGCAGTGGTTGGCTCCCTTATCACGCTGGGTACTATTTTATTAGTTGTGATAATTGGGCCTAGAATGAGATTTTGTTTTAACTTACAATATATTGCCAGAGGTATTGGGACACCCCTCCAAATCATTGGATTCATTTGTTCCAATCACACCAGTGCACAAAACAAGGTCCATAAAGACATAGATAAGTGAGCTTGGGGGGAAGGAACTTGACTGACCTGCACAGACTCCTGACCTCAACCTGATAGAACACCTTTGGGATGAATTAGAGAGGGGACTGTGAGCCAGGCCTTCTCACCCAACATCATTGCCTGAACTCACAAATACGCTTCTGGAAATATGGTCAAACATTCCCAAAGACACACTCCTAAACCTTGTGGACAGCTTTTCCAGAAGAATTGAAGCTGCTATGGCTGCAAAGGGTGGGCCAACGCAATATTGAACCCTACAGACTAAGACTGGGATGCCATTAAAGTTCATGTGCGTGGAAAGGCACAATACTTTTGGCAGTATAGTGTATGTTACTTTTCTTGATAGTGCTTTAAATGGCTCTATGGACTGTGTTATATTTTAAAAATTATTTTGCTCAAATAAAGTATCTTAATTGTACAGTACAGGACACAGGACTTGCATGCTTATAGTATGTATGGGTTATATGCAGCTAACTTCAGGTGATTGGTGAACTTGCTAGGGCCACCGCTCCCCAGAGCACCCCATAAAATCCCATCTACACCACTCTGTGAGATGTGATGTTGTGCAAAGGTACTTAGGTGATAACATATAAAAGACTTTTAAAGTATAGTCAATGGACAATTTTGGGTACTGAAGCTTATTGCCATTTTAAGTGTGTACGCAATTTTAAGGCATGACATGTTTGGTATTGATTTAGTCATTGCAACTTTATCTGTTATATCATCTGTTATAATTTATCAAAAACAGGTAATATATTCTGTTGTTATGCAGTAAAATTAACTTTTTTTCCTGAAAATTTGCATTTAAGAAACGTGCGCTAATATCATGTGCTATAAAACAATTGCAGCTACCACCATTTTATTCTCCAGGGCTTTTGCTTTCTGAAAATGTATAACGCTGGGGGGGGTTAAAGAATCTTCAGCCTAAAATGTGTATTTTAACATGGGTGAAAAGACTGGAAAAATAGTATTGAAGTAGTTAAGGCTATATCAGCATTTGTACTTATTTGAACATGAACTTTGCACTTCTACCCTTAAATTACTGTTTTATATTTCATCTGATGTGCATAAATCCTTCAGCATACATCTAGCATATATCTGCATTAACAGTAATATAAATTGGGGAATCAGTAAAATACTCCCCTCTATATTTGCTGTCCTGACAATGAGTATTGCTGTTGTTTGTAACTTACTTTCTTTAAGGATGAATGTATTTTCCTAAAATGTATGAAGTGTAAGTACCTACATTTCACTAGATATCAGCCTTTTTTGGTCCATGTATAGCAAAGCTCAGACTGAAGGAGGGAGAAAGAGCATGCTGATAGGTGGATAAAACAGATAAGAAAGCCTATTACCCAGTCAGTGTGTGGAGTGTGTATTAGACCTATAAGTGTTGCTGAACTGCAATAGCGAAAAACCAGGTCTCTCTTCTTGCCAGAAAGTGTGGTGTAAATCTGAAAACTGGATGAAAAGTAGTACAATTAAGTTGATATATAAAACCACTCCCTTGCATGCATTTCATCTGTGTATTTAGATGTTTGCACGACGTTCAGCTTTAATCTATTACATACTGGTTTACAGTATAAGTATACATCTCTTTTGCCAGTGTTAACAGGCCATGCTATTTTATTTAGTAATAACATTTTTATTTCCTACATAAATTATAGTTTAATATTTTTAATTTTGACTAGGTTGGACCAGCTGGATCTCAGTTTGGAATCTTGGCTTGCCTTTTTGTCGAACTCTTTCAAAGCTGGCAGATTCTAGCAAGACCGTGGAGGGCTTTCTTCAAATTGCTTGCTGTTGTCATCTTCCTATTCACGTTTGGACTCCTTCCTTGGATTGACAATTTTGCTCATATTTCTGGCTTTATTAGCGGCTTCTTTTTATCTTTTGCATTTCTTCCGTATATTAGTTTCGGCAAATTTGACTTATACCGGAAGAGATGCCAGATAATTATATTTCTACTCATATTTTTTGGACTGTTCTCTGGTCTAGTGTTTTTATTCTATTTTTACCATATCAAGTGTGAATGGTGTGAGTACCTAACCTGTATTCCATTTACAGATAAGTTTTGTGAGAAATACGACCTTGATGCACAACTTCTTTGACACTAACTAGAGATTTTTATCTAAGCAATATTTTTAAGATGTTTTTTATGTTTTTAAAATATGGTGTTATATGGTTATTATTAAAGGTACTGAAAAAAATAACATTTATTATATCCCGCCAAAGATGACATTAAGATTATTATTGGGAAGTTTCCCATATTGGCACAATGATTAAAAGTAACGGGTATACCGAGAGATCATCTTTGCTATGCTGTGGGATTTACATTTTTTTTATCTATATCTATATTAAAAAATATATATCTAATGTGCACATTTTTAATTTAATCTGTATATATAGCATTTGATAACCTTTGCTAAAATGTGTCTCAGATGGTTTTACTATCTGAAATTATTTTACTATCTGAAAACAGTATTTTTTCATTGTTCACTTTTACTGAACAACAGTGTGACGTCTTTTTGATGAACTAATTTCATTGGTAGGTTTTTAAATGTATTTCTACTGAAGGCAAAGCCGCAGTAATCAAACCACAGGGTAGCGTTTTAGCTGCTTTGTCTGTTAAAAAAAAGAAAAAAAAAAAGTATTGCATACACCATTTTTAAACACTACTTTTGGTATATTTGCAACATTTCTACAAGTATGGACACATCATAATAAAACAGAAGACTTTACTTGCTACAACTTACTTGTTTTTCTTTTAATAAACTGTATTAAATATTGTGTTTCCTATGCCAGTCCTCAAGGACCATCAATAGTTTGTTTTTTAGGCTTCCAGGTAATTACACAGCTATGTTTATTATACGTAGTTTAAATAGTACACACTAATCATTTCAACCTTAGAGCAGCTCTGGAAAAGGTGAATTATTATGCATGCCAAACACACAGCAGTTTTCTACCCATTAGAAATGTGAGTGAGAGAGATGTGTCATACAAACATTATTTTAAAGGGAAACTATATTGGTTTAAGGTCAATTTGAATTTAATTTAATTAAATAGTTTCAACTGACCAGAAAAATATGTTTTTTAAGTCCTGCCCATAATAAGTAAAAATGTATAAACCACTATACATTCCCTTTGACTTCATTGCCAAATCTCTCTTTTATGCCCATGGACATGTTTTTGTCTTATCAGCAGACACTTGCAGTAGCCTAACTTTTAAAAGGACAGAAGATGACAAATTTGCTATAGCCAATGACATATATGACTGGGTCTAAATGGAAAAAAGTATAAAGGTGTAAAACACTCCATCTTTTTTCTTTGTGTCATCATTCTCCTTTTGTTCCCCCAACTTGGCTATTACTCCATCTGCAAATACATCTCTCCACCACCAAATACTGTGTGGCATGCCTCAACAGAGACAGAGCTTTTAATGCATTGTGCTTTATGCCCAGATGACATAGCAGTGTTACGTCCCCCCTGGGGCTGCAAAGGCTAGTGATCCAAGCACACCACATTGTCAGATGACTATCCAAGGCTTTTGAGCCTTGTGGGAATGTAAAACAGCAAATGTGAAAATAAACTCATGAGCAGTCTGAAAGTTGAAAGTTCACAGTCTGAAATTTGGAAATTTACTGGCTGGTGTTTCTTACAAATAGTAGCTCAATAACCTATGAAGCTTAGCAGTTTAATGACAGCTTGTTAGGAAAAATACATCTTGAATGTGCATTGACCATTGAGGGAATCAGGAATTCGTAGTCAGGTTATATTGTCGCCTACAGGAGAAATTGACACCACCAACAAAAAAATTGTTAAGATGGCCAATTATGAATCGAACTTTGGCTGGTTCAGCAGGAAGTGGCCAAACTTTGATCCATGTATAAAAAATGTTTTAATAAGAAATAAAGTAGGTGTTGTACTCACAAACGACAATAAAGTCAAGGCACGTATAAAAACAGCTGGGTCAACACCGTGCTGAGTAACAGTCTGCAATAGGGAGTGTAGACATCCAATAGGCTGATGCGTTTAGAGGACTTGCCTCTTCCTCAGAGCCAAGTCCTCGAAACGCGTCAGACTATTGGATGTCTACACTCCCTATTGTGAACTGTTACTCAGCGCAGTTTTGACCCAGCTGTTCTTTTATGACGTGCCTTGACTTTATTGTTGTTTGTGAGTACAACACATACTGTATTTCTTATTAAACATGTTTTATGGTAATGCACTAGGCCTGTGCGCCCTCTGTTCGTTCCTTCCTTATTCAGTATATTTGGATTTCCCCGGTCTATTGAGGGCAGCAAGGTGTGCATGTTCCAGGACATTCTTGATGTGGTTGCAGCCTGCATCGAGTCCATCCCCAAGGGCAGGAGCATTTGTGTCTGCTGGTTCTTTGATCCATGTATGGTTGTTCCCATCCAGGAGAAGTTGATCTATTGACTAACTTCTTATAAACGGTCCTGCTGGAAATATTTTGCTTGATCACGCAGACAATGGGCTGCAGCGCTGATCAATGTGTTCTGACAGCGGGGGAGTCAGAATACAATGACACAGTGGGATTCCTCGATCCACCTCAAATGGGTGGATGGGGGAACTGGTACAGTTTTTCCATTCAGTCGGCCGGCTAAATGAAAAAAAAAACTATACCATGTATGGCCAGCTTTAGCCAGCATGAGATAACCCTGTCCACAACCAGCATGAGTCCGTTCATTTTCCATCTCACTGCTATTTGATAAAAAGCTTGTAAAACTCTCTGTAAATGTTACAGTCGTGTAGACAGCATGTTACCATAGACCTGAATGGAAGGAGTTGACAAAGTTCAACTTTTTGCCACGTAATGACACGAAGCGACGCAAATGTTAAATGTTTTTCAAATGTGAAAAGCTTTGTTTGCTGTTTATAATAGCCATTGTGGGCTGCTTTGTTGGGCATTCGGGGAGCTGCAAAAACGTGCCTCAAATGCCTATTTTTAATGCCAGTTTGAACAGGGCCTAATTTTTGTTTCTACTCCCTCCTCTCCCTTTAGCTGCATTTAGTGATACAGCTCTAATTCAGGAGAGAGCATATAAACTGGAGCCTGTCTTTACCTTGGGAATTGATGTAAGCCCATTACACTGCAGGACTTTACAGGAGCGTGCACATGGTAATGCACAATAGTGCACGAGAACATGCAGAATTGTACACACATGTTCTATGAGTAACAATTTACTATGCTATGCAGGCTGAAATACTATACTGTGCATTCTTTGTAATGCTAATTCAGGCTGCATATGGCTAACAGATCACTACAGGCCACTTTCTGCTTGTACTCTCATACAGGATGAGTAACAGAACAACAGAGCATGTTGAAATTGTCACTTTTAAAGCCTCTCCTGTTTGAATTACCTTCCCTGATGCAGATGATAATAGTGCTTCACCCCACCATTTCTGGGTAACCAGTGGATTCTTTTCCAGTCTGTCTCTGTGGCAATTATGTATTTTTAGAGGGCACCCTGTTGTCTGAGCCCTGGCATGGACCTCCTCATTGCTTTTAGTATTGTAGTACATCTGGGTAGTTGTGGGATACTTTGGGTCTTAACTTTCTAAGCCATACATGGATCAAACATTGGCTGGTTCTGCAGGGACTGGCCAAATTTCGATCCATGTATTGACCTATCAATCGACTTGTGTACAACCAGCTTGTTGGGTTTTTCCCGAAAAGATCAGTGCTGAGGGCTATAGCGGGAAAAAACGATCTTTGTACTCTGCGAGGAGGGATGGCTCTCTACCGGCAGAATACTATAGGATTTCCTTATCCACATTGAATGTGTGGATCGGGAATCTGCTCATTTATTTGTCCTTCACCTTTATCAACAACAAGCAGAAGTTGCTCTGTTTTGCGAATTGCGTATTGTGTATTTGGTTCTTGTGTAAAGGGGGTTCCTTGTGGTTTGATTCAGCTGTCTACCTGGGCCCATCTCTGATGTACATGTCTTTCTCCCTTTTCAGCTAAATCTGACAGAGACACACTGGACTTTTTGGGTTCAGTTAGGAACCTTCTGTGGATTCTATGTCCTCTCTAGAGGATGATACATTCAGACCGATCAAAAACACTCTAATGCAAATGCCATACCTATAGGCCTTTTCCATCACCCATAAAGCCTGTCTGAAATATTTTCAAAATTTACATTTCTATGTCCCAGCTTAATTCCAGGACATGGCAGTTATTGAGTGCTCACCCCCAGGATTGCATGAGCAAGCAAGCTTTCTGTTTCAAAAGCTGCGCATGAGCAGTGCACTCTATTCTTTCACAGCAAAGACTGTCCAGTCCCACATCCCCACCAGGATTCTCACACTGCTGTAGCCCCAGTCAGCTTCATACCCTGGATACAGCAAAATGGCCTACTAAAGAGATTAACACTTTGCTAGTCCTCAAAGTAGAAGGCTCAGTGGCCATTTGTTGTAGCCCATGTCCTGGAAATAAGCCGAGATGTAGGAATATAAACATTTGGAGCTTTTCAACCAGGCTGCATGGCTGCCAGAAATGGTCTACATGTACAGCATTGCATTAAACAATATATACAGTATTTTTTTACAAAAGGCACAGTAGGGGAATTCACTAAAGCTACAGTACCACTTTTCTGGAGTTAATCTGATGAAAAGGAAAAATTGCCCAAGGAACTTTGCAAGCCACACAGACTATGTTTAAGAAATCTCATTTTATTAGAAAAAAGGCATATTAAAAAGATAAAAAAAATCTATATAAACAAAACACATAACGCTTATCATGCATATACAAATAAAATTAGACAGGATCTGCATGGTCCGTATGTTCCATGAGAACATGAAACAAGCTCTCTGAACAAAATCTCGATGCATTTTATAAAGCTGCGCTCACAACTTCAGCAGATGACAAAACTTGTAGGTATACCATAAGAAATGGTGTCACAAAGTCAACCTC